GGTTCTGCTCTGGGGCAGCCCAGCCTAAGAGACTCAGCGGGAGAGTTTGGTGCAGGACAAGCTCACGCAGGGGTTGCCGGAGACAGTGCCCGCCGTCGGGGAGCACACGCAGCCGGGACGGCAGGGGCAGGAAGAGAAGGGGGTCCCGTCCCACTTACCCGAGAGCAGGAGCAGGCACCTGCTTCCCATGGCGCAGAGGCAGCGGGAGCAGCAGCGTGAGGATCTCTCTCCAGCGGGGAGGGGTGGGAGTTCCTGCAATGGACAAGCCCAGTGAGGACCAACGCCTCAGGGTCACGAGGCTACGAACCTGGGGTTGAGGGAGCAATGCTTAATTCTGCTTCTGGGCAACTCTCTCAAGGAAAGGATCCTGCAAGAATGATCGCAGCAGAGGGGGTTGCACCCCTCTGCTTACCACCCCACATGGTGCAAAAGTGATGCATCTCATGGGCTGAATATTCTGCTGGGATTTAAAATCCTGTTCTATTGCAGTCAGCAAAATCCAGACTGTGGAAGACCCCCCTTTTTCTTTCCTTTTTTTTTTTTTTTTTTTTTTTTTTTTTTTTTTTTTTTGTTGTTGTTGTTGTTGTTTGGTTTGGTTTGGTTTGGTTTGCAGACAAAGTCTCACTCTGGTGCCTGGGCCAGAGTGCACTGTTGCCATCATAGCTCACTTGGAGGTCAAACTCCTGGGCTCAAGTCACCCTCCTGCCTCAGCCTCCTGAGAAGCTGGGACTGCAAGAATGAGCCACTGCGCCCAGATGATTTTTCCAGTTTTTGTAGAGACGGGGTCTCACTATGTTCAGATTGATCTCGAACTCCTGACCTCAAGCGAACCTCCAACTTTGGCCTCCCAAAAGTACTAGGATTACAGGCGTGAGCCACTGCATCCAGCCTCTTTTTATTTTTGCATTGCTGTTATTTATTTCATATTTTAAAATATTTTTAATTGACAAATAGTTATGTATATTTATGGGGCACAACATGATATTTCAATATATGTTTACATTGTAGAATGATTAAGTCAAAGTAATTGGCATCTTCATAACCTCACATACATATCATTTTTTTGTGTGATGAGAACATTTAAAATCCACTCTTCCAGCAATTTACAATGTATTGTTATTAACGGTTGTCACCATGCTGTACGAAAATCTCTAAAAACTGATTTCTCCTAGTTAGCTGACACTCTGTGCCCTTTGACTAACTTCCCTATTTCCACCTCCCAACCCTGCCCCATCCTCAATTAACCACTGTTCTAGTCTCTTCTTCTATTACTTCCACTTTTTTATATCCAAAAAAATGCAAGAGGTTAAAAATAACAAGGTAAAAGAGGAACCTGGATTAAAAATATATGATATCACATTTAAAGGAATTATAAATGCTAATAGAGGATGAGATTATGAATGATTTTTTAAAATGATTCATTTATTTTTCTCTAAGCCTTAGTTTGTCAACAAGACATCATGAGTGATTTTAAATCCCTTTTTACTTAGCTGCAAGTCTAAATTTTGCATATTGCTTTAACAAGAAGAACTTCATAATAACAATAATGAAGGATTTTAATAGAAGAGAAACACAATGACTTAAAAAATGGTTTCTCTGGGCAGTTCTGTGTGTTCTCCATGCTCCTGTCTTGATATGCCTGTTGGGCTTTGATCTCTGAGTTTGGAATCTCTTAGGGCCACCTGTGTGTTCACGCTCAATGCCCCACCCACGGCTGGGGTGCGAGATCTCTCTCATCCTGTCCATTACCACGTCCTAAGATCATTTATGGGAACTCGACTAGGGGCCAGGTGCCTTGTTAAGAACGTCGTGACTGTCATCTCATCCACAGCCCAGAGCATCTTATGACGTAGGTCTTGTCGTCGTCTCTCCACTCTTCAGAGGCAGAAACTGCGGTTCAAGAGATCACGTGGCTCTCGCAGGGCCACCCCGCTGGAAAATGCAGAGCTGAGACCTGTGCAAGGTCTCCCCGAGTCCAAAGCCCGTGTCCCACCACCTCCCCAAGGTCAGGACCCCAACGTCACCGGACGTGGAACGCAAATCAGTCAGACCATGGGTGGGAAGCGGTGGGGACCTCGGGAAACTGGGGACCACAGGCTCTAGCTAGAGACGACCACATCCACGTTTCCCTTAAAGGCAGAGTCAGGGACCCCCGGCTTGCAGTCCCTGCAGTGGACAATATCACCTGCTTCCAAGTCCAACCCTGCAGTGGGATCTTGTGTCCCGAGAGAGGAATTACACTTAGTCCCTCTCTGGACGCCTTCCCTCTCTCAACACCTGTCTCCCTTTTGCATTCATGTTTCTCCTCCTTCAAAATTATATTTTACTCTAAAATATTCTGGAGCAACTCTCAGTGCAAAGAATCCCCATTTGAATGAGGACAATTGTTTTTTGAGGCCTCGTTTGAAACCGATTTAACTAAAGTGAGTATGTTTACCTAAAAGAGGTGACAATAAATATTTGTCACAACAGTTGAGACCTCTAGGGATGCTAATTTGGAGAGATTTTTGGCCATAACCAACTGCAAGAAATCCATTTCAGACAGACAGATAGAGACACAGAGAGAGAGAGAGATGAATGAAGTTTCACAAAATAAAACTACGTACAGCATCTGATATTCTATAATCATGATCTTTTTCTTTTCTTCTTCATTTTTTTGTTTGTTTTGCTTTTTTTTCAGATAGAGTCTCACTTTCTTGCCCAGGCTAAAGTGCCGTGGCGTCAGACTAACTAACAGCAACCTCAAACTGCTGGGCTCAAGCACTCCTGCTGCCTCAGCCTCCCGAATAGCTGGGACTACCGGCATGCGCCACCATGCCCGGCTAATTTTTTCTAGTGGGTTTTGTGCCATCCCCCCTCCAGCAGGTTCATTAACCAGCTGGTTGAATCAACAACGTCGAACCTCCAAATCTTCTCTACCTTGGACCACAAATGCAGGCATCCAAACACTTCCCCTGTGGGGGACTGCGCCTGGCGTGTTTACTTACGGGGCTGAGTGTATG